CCAAATTTTTTTCCAGAGTGGTTGTACTAGTCTACATTCCCACCAACAGTGTAAGAGGGTTCCTTTTTCCCCATCCTCGCCAACACCTGTTGTTGGTGGTGTTGCTGATGATGGCTATTCTAACAGGGGTGAGGTGGAATCTTAGTGTGGTTTTAATTTGCATTTCCTTTATTGCTAGAGATGGTGAGCATTTTTTCATGTGTTTTTTGGCCATTTGAATTTCTTCTTTTGAGAAAGTTCTGTTTAGTTCACTTGCCCATTTTTTTATTGGTTCATTAGTTTTGGGAGAATTTAGTGTTTTAAGTTCCCTATATATTCTGGTTATCAGTCCTTTGTTTGATGTGTAGCTGGCAAATATTTTCTCCCACTCTGTAGGTGTTCTCTTCAGTTTAGAGACCATTTCTTTTGTTGAGCAGAAGCTTTTTAGTTTTATGAAGTTCCATTTATCTATGCTATCTCTTAGTTGCTGTGCTGCTGGCGTTCCATTGAGAAAGTTCTTACCTGTACCTACTAACTCCAGAGTATTTCCTACTCTTTCTTGTATCAACTTTAGAGTTTGTGGTCTGATATTAAGATCCTTGATCCATTTTGAGTTAATCATGGTATAGGGTGATAGACATGGATCTAGTTTCAGTTTTTTGCAGACTGCTAACCAGTTTTCCCAGCAGTTTTTGTTGAAGAGGCTGCTATTTCTCCATCGTATATTTTTAGCTCCTTTGTCAAAGATAAGTTGCTTATAGTTGTGTGGCTTCATATCTGGATCCTCTGTTCTGTTCCACTGGTCTTCATGTCTGTTTTTGTGCCAGTACCATGCTGTTTTTATTGTTATTGCTTTGTAATATAATTTGAAGTCAGGTATTGTGATACCTCCTGCATTGTTCTTTTGACTGAGTATTGCCTTGGCTATTCGTGGCCTCTTGTGTTTCCATATAAATTTAACAGTAGATTTTTTGATCTCTTTAATGAATGTCATTGGAATTTTGATGGGAATTGCATTAAACATGTAGATTACTTTGGGGAGTATCGACATTTTTACTATGTTGATTCTACCAATCCATGAGCATGGGAGATCTCTCCACTTTCTATAATCTTCCTCAATCTCTTTCTTCAGAAGTGTATAGTTTTCCTTGTAGAGGTCTTTCACATCCTTTGTTAGGTTTACAACTAGGTATTTGATTTTTTTTGAGGCTATTGTAAATGGAATTGTTTTCATATATTCTTTTTCACTTTGTTCATTATTAGTGTACATAAATGCTAATGATTTTTCTATGTTGATTTTATATCCTGCTACCTTGCTATAGCTATTGATGGTGTCTAGGAGCTTCTGAGTAGAGTTTTTTGGGTCTTTAAGGTATAAGATCATGTTGTCTGCAAATATGGGTATTTTGACAGTTTCTTTACCTATTTGTATTCCTTTTATTCCTTCTTCTTGCCTAATTGCTCTGGCTAGGAATTCCAGTACTATGTTGAATAGGAGTGGAGATAGTGGGCAACCTTGTCTCGTTCCTGATTTTAGAGGGAATGGTTTCAGTTTTTCACCATTAGGTATAATGCTGGCTGTAGGTTTGTCATATAGAGCTTTTATAATGTTGAGGTACTTTCCTTCTATTCCTAGTTTTCTTAGAGCTTTTATCATGAAATGATGTTGGTAGCAGGATATAAAATCAACATAGAAAAATCATTAGCATTTCTATACACTAACAATGAGCAAACTGAAAAAGAATGTATGAAAACAATTCCATTTACAATAGCCTCAAACAAAATCAAATACTTAGGTGTAAACCTAACAAAAGATGTGAAAGACCTCTACAAGGAAAACTATACACTTCTGAAGAAAGAGATTGAGGAAGATTATAGAAAGTGGAGAGATCTCCCATGCTCATGGATTGGTAGAATCAACATAGTAAAAATGTCGATACTCCCCAAAGTAATCTACATGTTTAATGCAATTCCCATCAAAATTCCAATGACATTCATTAAAGAGATCAAAAAATCTACTGTTAAATTTATATGGAAACACAAGAGGCCACGAATAGCCAAGGCAATACTCAGTCAAAAGAACAATGCAGGAGGTATCACAATACCTGACTTCAAATTATATTACAAAGCAATAACAATAAAAACAGCATGGTACTGGCACAAAAACAGACATGAAGACCAGTGGAACAGAACAGAGGATCCAGATATGAAGCCACACAACTATAAGCAACTTATCTTTGACAAAGGAGCTAAAAATATACGATGGAGAAATAGCAGCCTCTTCAACAAAAACTGCTGGGAAAACTGGTTAGCAGTCTGCAAAAAACTGAAACTAGATCCATGTCTATCACCCTATACCATGATTAACTCAAAATGGATCAAGGATCTTAATATCAGACCACAAACTCTAAAGTTGATACAAGAAAGAGTAGGAAATACTCTGGAGTTAGTAGGTACAGGTAAGAACTTTCTCAATGGAACGCCAGCAGCACAGCAACTAAGAGATAGCATAGATAAATGGAACTTCATAAAACTAAAAAGCTTCTGCTCAACAAAAGAAATGGTCTCTAAACTGAAGAGAACACCTACAGAGTGGGAGAAAATATTTGCCAGCTACACATCAAACAAAGGACTGATAACCAGAATATATAGGGAACTTAAAACACTAAATTCTCCCAAAACTAATGAACCAATAAAAAAATGGGCAAGTGAACTAAACAGAACTTTCTCAAAAGAAGAAATTCAAATGGCCAAAAAACACATGAAAAAATGCTCACCATCTCTAGCAATAAAGGAAATGCAAATGAAAACCACACTAAAATTCCACCTCACCCCTGTTAGAATAACCATCATCAGCAACACCACCAACAACAGGTGTTGGCGAGGATGCCGGGGAAAAAGGAACCCTCTTACACTGTTGGTGGGAATGTAAACTAGTACAACCACTCTGGAAAAAAATTTGGAGGCTACTTAAAAAGCTAAACATTGATCTACCATTTGATCCAGCAATACCACTCTTGGGGATATACCCAAAAGACTGTGACACAGGTTACTCCAGAGGTACCTGCACACCCATGTTTATTGCAGCACTATTTACAATAGCCAAGCTATGGAAACAGCCAAGATGCCCTACCACTGACGAATGGATTAAGAAAATGTGGTATCTATACACAATGGAATTTTATGCAGCCATGAAGAAGAACGAAATGTTATCATTCGCTGGTAAATGGATGGAATTGGAGAACATCATTCTGAGTGAGGTTAGCCTGGCCCAAAAGACCAAAAATTGTATGTTCTCTCTCATATGTGGACATTAGATCAAGGGCAAACACAACAAGGGGATTGGACTTTGATCACATGATAAAAGCAAGAGCACACAAGGGAGATATGAGGATAGGTAAGACACCTAAAAAATTAGTTAGCAGTTGTTGCCCTCAACACAGAGAAACTAAAGCTGATACCTTAAAAGCAACTGAGGCCAACAGGAGAAGGGGATCAGGAACTAGAGAAAAGGTTAGATGGAGAAGAATTAACCTAGAAGGTAACACACATGCACAGGAAATTAATGTGAGTCAACTCCCTGTATAGCTATCCTTATCTTAACCAGCAAAAACCCTTGTTCCTTCCTATTATTGCTTATACTTTCTCTTGAACATAATTAGAGATAAGGGCAAAATAGTTTCTGCCTGGTATCCTGGGGGTTGGGGGGGAGAGGGAGTGGGCGGGGTGGGTTGTTACGCAGGGGGTGGGGGCAGAAATGACCCAAGTATTGTATGCACATATGAATAATAAAAAAATTAAAAAAAAAAACAAAAAAAAATCAAATATAGATGGTTATAACAATTAGAAAATCACCACTAGAATACCATAAGGCAGGCTAGAAATGCTCTCTCTCTCTCTTTTTCTCTGTTGGTGGACTCCACCTTTGTCTACCATGCCCCCTTCTTTTTCTTCCCTTTCCTCACCTGGCAGATCAGGTGATTCCCCTCTTCTCAATAAAGCTATCCTACCTCACCCCATTCACGTGCTGTACGTGGATTTTTCCATTTGAAGCACAAAAACTAGCATTTTCTGATCACAGACTGCATCAGTGCGGGTAACAATAATCGTAATTCCTGTCTGCAAGATTCACAGCTGCCTGCAAAAGTTGTGGGTGATAGAATGATAAAAGTCAATTGCACATCCTTAAAGCGTCTCCCAAATATTCCAAATACATTTTTCTCTTAATTAAAAAAAATTAAAGCAAAAAAAGTAACAGTGTACTGTACAATTTATAATGTGTAGATCTAAAATTTATCCAGCTGCTCCAAGGATAGAATTCAGTAAATGGAACGGTTTTGCATACATTAAACCAGTAGTATACTACTTCCAAATAGATTGAATGCACGTTGCAATCCATAGCAACCGCGAGAAAATGAAATGCTGTGTTACTTAAATGCTAGTAGTGAATTAAATTTAAAGAGCAAAAGGGCTGCTGGAGTGGTTCAAGTGCTAGAGAACCTGCCAGGAAGGTCGAGGCTCTGAATTCAACGCCCCCCACCCCCACCCCCGCGCGCAATGGCCAAAAAAGAAAAAAAAAGGTATTTGTTTAAGAATGCTCAGAGACCCCTTCCTCTGCTTCAGTCCACCAAGAAGTGTACAAAGGCCTCCCCTACAAGCAAGCTAACAGGGTCAAGCCCAGGACCCCGAGCTCGTTGGTGGACGTTTGAAAAACGAGCCATGAATCTCCAGGTGAAGGTCGGGACTCTTCAGAGTCATATCCCATTACGAACAAAACGGTTTTCTTCGCTGTTTTGGTGATGGAAACCCCTCACGGCCTTGTCCCATTGAGAGCTTGGCCGGCAGAACATTGCAACAGGAATTCCAGCTAGAAAGGTCGGCGCGTGCGCAGCCTCTCACCCCGGGATCTCTTTCACGCTGCTGACGCGCAAACGGAACGCCAAATCTGTCCCAGAGCAGCCGCTTCCGCCGAGCGCCGAATAGAGCAACCGCGCCGCCCACGGTACGCGTGCGTACGCTTCCACGCAGGTCAGTCCTACGGCGGCTGCCAGGGGTGTCCGTTCGGTGGAGGACCCGCACGGAGAAGCCCGGGAATTCGATGCTTTTTTTCCTTCCCTGTCCCACTGCCCTCTCGAGAAAGTTCTTTCACTGGGTGAGCTGTTGCCCCATGACCCCTCGCGCACCTCTCTCGCGTCCTGCGCGCGCCAGGCCCGCGTTCCCGCGGGGGTGGGGGTGGGGGCGGGCTGTGGGAGTGACGCGACCCCGCCCAGCGAGGTCCGCCTGGGTGCCGGGGGTCGCGGATTTAATCCATAGATCAGGAACTACCGTTAGGGAGCGGGACTGTCCCATCAGTTTCCACTGAGGAGAGGTGGTCTTTCCTAGGGTGTGGCGGGTCCTTTAAGTGCTGTTACCTGGCAGCTCCCCCTCCCCCCTTCCCCACTCGGAACGGAACCTGCGGAGGACAGCATTGCCCCTCCCCCGAGCTTCTCTTGCTGAAAAGACACCTGGGAAGCCCAGAGACGAGTTTTGTGCCCTGTACCTTCAGTTACACACGCACACGCACGCAAGCACGCACGCATCTTCGGGTCTTCAGGGCCTGGACTTGTCCAGGGACTCAGGCTCCACACTGTTAAAGGGGGCTATGGAGATGGCAGGGGGCGTGTCCAGGAATCCTGCAAGGGTGGAGGGAGATGTGTGTGTGTTGAGGCCCTGGGAATGTAGCAGATTCCTGACCCTGACCGTGAGGGACTTACTATTGTATTTGGACAGAAAGTTTCTGGATTTGTAAAAATTAAGGCCTGATCTAGGTGATGCCTGAGAATCATTTCAGTTTTTCAGAAGCAGTGGTGCGATAAAGTAGCTCTTCATGAATTCCAGAGCACTGCTGGAAATAACTTCTAGTGTGGGGTAGTTGCATGCCTGCTTTGTGTAAGTTTGAGAGGACTGTAGAATGAGTAGAAAGGCCATTAAGAGGTAGCCAGGTAAAGTAGATCACAAATGGACCCACCAATAGAGTGTGGAGTTTTGATTTTGAATCTTTGAACATTGAAGACAGGTATACTTGATAAACGATCCAGACCAAACTGACTTTATGTAAACATGGAGAGAGATGCAGTGGGAAGAAGTTGCCAAAAGAAAACTTGTAGAATAAGTCAGCTGAATAAAATTGAAGTGGAGGGGAAAAATGTTTAAAATAGAACCCACCCAGCCTGTAATTCCAGCACTCTGGAGGATGAGATCTTGATTTCAGGGCCAGTTTGGGCCACATAGGGAGTTCCAGGCTAGCCTGGCCTACATACTGTCCCTAAAATTAAACTAGAGTGCACACACACACACAAGTCTTCATAGACACTGTAGTACTAGTTACCCAAAAGTAAATAAATCAGATATCCATCACTAGTAAAATGGATGAGAAAATTGTGGTGCATTTACACAATAGAATACTGCTCAGTACAGCAAAGGATCAAGATTACTGAGGCCCACACCTTGGGTCAACCTTATAAGCACTGTGCTTAGTGAGATGGCGGCACCTGAAATTGTGTATATTATATGATATTTCAGGAGAAGTGGACCTGTGATTAAGAAATCACATTATGTTGCATGTGGTGGAGAAAAAACTGCCTGGGAAGGAACACAATGTGATTTTCTTGGAGCAACTAAAACACTATGTTCTTCAAATACGTAAAAGTTTTATGGGTGTATTTGACAAAACTATACAGTTAATATTTGTGTCTTAAAATGTATGTGCATCTGACCTTACCAATAATATAATTAAATATATACAGTAGGGGTAGACTGGGGAATGGGTGCAAATACAGATGAAATAAAAAGTCGTGACCAAATAAAATATATTCTTCACTGACAATTTTATTTTTACATATTACAGTGAAAGTATTTTGTATACATTGGGCTTAGTTGTTATGATGGATTTCTTCTATTTTAATTTTTAAAATGTGAATACTAGAAAATTTAAAATTATAGTTGTACCTTACATTTTTATATGTGTTGAAAATGAAATTCCTGCCTTAGGGATTGCTTCTCAGTTTAAAGCTCAGGCTGCCTCCTCACAGGACTAGAGACCAAAAAAGTTATGGGAAATTTAAAAGTAATTGTCACTACCCTCTTTCCATTTGTGAATAATGTATACACATACATATAATTAATAAATTATTATGGCTTTAGTGATTGCAAATGTGCCTCTGGTGGTTCAGTCCTCTGGTATGGAGGAATCCCAGCCTTAAAATAGCTGCAGCCTAGGACTTGTCCTAGCGGCCTCATTCAGTCTTGGGTTGGTCCTATCTATTGTCTTTCGGGGCCTGAAGGGGCAGGGCCTGAATCCCTGTACAATCAGAGGCATGGGATGAGACCTGTCCAATCTGGAACATAGCCAGGGCACAGGAGGTAGACTTCAGCAGTATCTAAAGCCACCATTTTGGGCTCTCTCTCCAGGCTGTCTTCTCAGGAGACCCAATGGACTGCCACAGCGGCTGTTGTCCCATGGGCTAGCATGTCCCATGGGACATGCTAGTGCTGGCAGATTCCTAGGGAGCACCCCAGCTGGGAAATGGTGAGTTTGCAATCAGACCTATTTATTTATTGTTTTTGCATTTACTTACATGTGTATACATTATCCCCCCCCCCCGCAGTCAGACCTCTTGAGATTAGAGAAAGGGCTGTTTGGAACCAACTGGAATCGGTTGTGGTAGGATCAGGACTCCTCCAGATCTGCTCTGGAGTCTGCAGGCTCCAGTTGTCAGCCAGCAGGGAGGGGAAAGGGTGACACCTGGAACACTGTGCCTTCTGTCTGACCATAGACTACAGCCTCTGCCAGGAATCCTTTCTGGGCAGCTCCCTGCCTACAGCCTGGCTTCTCCCCAGACTGTGTAGTGATGTTGGGAGGATCATCAGGGAAGGATTTCTCTTGGGAGGGGCTGTGGTCTGTAAGGTCCCTAGTCCCTCCTTACTCCTGAGGGTTTATCCTTTCTGCTTGAGCTTTCCAAATGTGTGGAAAGAACACAGCTAGAAACCTGCCCCTCCTGATACCCCTGCCCCCCAGTATCCTCCTAAGTAGGTCTGGAAATGAATTCCTAAAACTCTAGCTCACTATCCTCATCCCTCAAAACCGACTTCCCTTCTCCACACCACTTCCCATTATTTGTTCCCCATGTTACATTGCAAACAAACACAAAATTTTGTATTTTTTTCCTTCAAGTACTAGATGACACTTTTTAAAGGGTTTTTTTTTTCCTGTTTGTGAATATCTCCCAGGAGAGAAAAGCAGAGAAGAATTACTTGACCACTTGTAAAAGTCTTTTTTGCCACCTCCTTTTGTCTTCTCTATGCACAGATACCTTATCAGAATCTTTGGGTTGAGCTTCTGGGTTGCACTTTACAGGGTGATGTGTCTTCATCCCACTTTGCAGTCTGTCCCTGGTCCTGGGTTTCAGAACTGTCTGACACCAGGTGCCCACAGTTGTCATGTCTCTGGTTTCTTGGAGTGTCTAGTGATTATCAGGCCCCTGTCATGTGAGCTCTCAGGAGCAGCTGGAAGCCCTGGAGCTGGGAGAAATCTTCCAGTGGACCCTCATCTAAAAGGCACTTGGGTTGTTGGCCATATCTTTGCTACTGTGAATAGTGCTGCAGAGAGCATGGGTGTGCAGCCATCTCTTCAACATTCTGATTTTGGTTCATTTAGATAGATACCTAGAAATGACTTCTGGTTCATGTGCTTTGTGCAATTTTTATTTTTTGAAGAGCCATCATAATATTTTAAAAAATTGTTTACTAAATTTATGATCATAGCAACAATATACAAGGGTTCCCTTTATCTTCATGTTCATGTCCTCCTGAACACTTGTTATCTTTCACCTTTTTTTTTTTCTTTGTCATTAAGACAGGATCTCTTTAGTCCAAGGAGGCCTTGAACTCCCACTGTAGCCCAGGTTTGCCTTGAATTCATTCTCTGATGAGCCTCTTGAGTACTGGCTCAGCTTTTTGGCAATAGCCATTTTAACAGCTGTGCTCAGGCTGCAGGGGGTCTGGTATTTGCTGCATGAACTACCTGATGCAAGTTAGTTAAAATTTTTGTTGCCATGTTGTCCTAGGAAGAGTGCTAGAAAACTCTTCCAGGAATATCCAAGGATCTGTGGTTCTTAATTCCTTTCTGTACTGCTGGTGGTTGTAGTTAGTGGACATGCTTGCATACCCATTTAAAATCAGTTGTTGTTGCAAATTCCTAGAGACCTTCGCTACCAGAGGTTGGAGGTTTAGGATGTAGTTACTTAAATGGAGATGATAAATTGGGGACACTTGGTGCATGAATAAATTCCTTATGGGAGGAGTTGGTAGACCTGGGCTGTTAGTTGACTGAATTGGGGGAGCAGGTTCAGAAAGTGCTGAACTCCCATTCAGGCTGCCAGAGGTCTACTTTTTTTTTTTTTTTAATCTCCCTGATGCAGGCTAGATAGAAGCTCAAAGATCAGCAACAGTAGTTGGTACACTGTACTGGCAATATGCTTCTGAGGAGAAACTGGGACCCCTTCTCTTCCCTGTTCCCACCTACACACTGGGATCAGGTAACCTAGAGTAGCAGGGATTACAGACCTGAGCACTGTGCCAGGCTACATATTTCTTGTTTTTGAACTCAGAGCCTCATGCTTGCCAGGCAGGTGCTCTCCCACTTGAGTCATACCTCCAGCCCTTTTTGCTCCGTTTATTTTTGGGATAGTGTAGGGTCTTGCTTTTTGCCCAGGCCATCCTGGACCACAATCCTGAGATGTGTGCCACTATGCCCAACTTTTTTTCCTCTTGAGATGGAGTCTCATGTACTCATTTGCCTCAGCTAGCCTGAAGCCTCCATCCTCCTGATTTCAGCCTCCCAAGTAGCTAGGATTATAGGAGTGAGCCACTGATGCATGACTCATATTTCCTCTTTAAAATGTGCACATGTGAAATGTTACGTGAATGTGACACCTGTATAAAAGTCACGTGGTGGTTTCTACTGTTTGTTAAACTGGATATACAAGACTAGAATATGTTTAGCCCCACAATGTGCTTGTACTTTGTTAGTTATCTTCCTGAGTGCAGATCCTCTTACCCCAACTCTTGGTGTCAGTGTTGTGGACCAGTTCTGCTGTCCCTTGTATGTTATTATAGGACACTTGTAGAAGTCTATGACTGGTGGCGAAGAGTCATGTATCTTCAACAGCCAATTTTCTGAAGTAGATAATAACAACATGTTCTCCATTTTGAATTCGTGAGACTTCAGTTGTTCCCCATCTTCATCAGTACTACTGGTAATGATGTGATTTTTGTATATGTTCTGTAATTTCTAAAGATGTTGAATTTTTTATGATTATTGAGCCCTTAGGTCTCGCCTAATAAAGTGCCTTTGAGGTCTTTTGACTGTGTTACTTCTGGGACCTCTGACGTTTTCTTACTTAATGTGTCACTTGTGAGGCAATTAGTTTCTCCCTCTGTCATGTACTTCTTTTTGCACCCTCTGTGGTTTCATTTGGTGAATAGAAAATTTAATGTAGTCCAATTTATAACTGCTTTATTTTTTTAGTATTGTTTTATGTTACTTTGAGAAGAAATAACTTCCTTTGCTGCAGCAACTTTTGAATGTTTCATAGTTTGCTTTTATATTTAGGTATTTATTCTTTTTGATAATGATTTACTATGTTGTGTATCAGACACAGTAATTTTTCTTTTCTTGCTACAGAGATTCCCCCTGTGTAGCCTTCATTGGAAATGGTGTCGTTTTTTCTTCTTCTCTGGAGTACATTTGTTACCTATAAGTCATTTACAATCACTATCATTTATAATCATTGTCACTTCTAAGTGATTTATAAGGTTAAAGGTAAGCTTTTAAGGTTTCTGTTGTTAGTTTCGTGGGTCTGTTTATTGGCCTAATTGCTAAGCTTAGGCTGATTGCTATGGCTTTATAATATACCGTTATGTGCCATATAATGGTGTTCTGTTTTTTTTTTTTTCAGTACTGGGGTTTGAATTCAGGGTCTACGCCTTGAGCCACTCCACCAACCCTATTTTTGAAATGGATTTTTTTCAAGATAGGATCTCACAAACTATTTTTCCAGGCTGGCTTTGAACCTTGATCCTCCTGATCTCTGCCTCCTGAATAGCTAGGATTACAAGCATGAGCCAGTGGTGCCTGGCTGGTGACAAAGTTCTTATGTGGTGGTGTGTATAATATACAGGATAGGTGTGTTCTAAGGCTAAACCATTTATGTTTGTGTAGGTATACTCTGTGATGTTTATGGAATCACAGAATCACCTAACAATCTCTGTTATAAAGCAAGCTTTTACTGTATATGTACATATGTTACAATTACATAACATATAATTTACATATTAGTTTTCTTTTCAGATTTACCAGGACTCTTTCAATTTCACTGTGTTTTCAAAGAAGCAACATTTGGCATTGCTGAAACTCTGTGTAGTATGTTCATTTTCAACATCTTCATTGTTTGTTCTTTTTATAATATTTGCTTCTTCTAATAAGACTGAACTTTAGCTAATGAATTCGTAGTCTTTTTAATTTTTGTCTCTCTATATATTTGCTTATATATTTTGCCTGCATATTTCCTTCTTAACTTCAGTTTTAGATGCATCCTAAATATTTTTACACCTTTATTGAAATGTAATGTATGTATGTAATGCATCCCTAACAATATGCATATATTTCAGGTATATACCTGTCATCTTTTGACATATGAATACATCCATGAAACAGCTGAAACAGCACCGTAGTAAATATCATTAGCAATCTGTTACTCCAAAGTGTTTCCTAGTACCCTTTTGTCATCTGTCCTTTCTGTTCTTCCTCACTGCCTTTTCTTAGTAAAGGTGATTTACTGAGCAACAAAAACAACAACAACAATAATAAAGACCAGGACAAGCATCAATATTGGGTAGGTCAGTGAATTGTTCTAGAGGGAACACACCATGTACCTATGTACCTAGTATGAGGTGAAGAAATGGAACGTTAGTGATGCCCTGGAAAACCCTGTCTTCCTATCACTATTCTCTCCATTCTCCCTGGGGGTAATTACTAATGGTGAAATAGGCTCTCTCCATGTATCCCCTCCACTGGCCTGGAGCTCTTATGTAGCTCATGTTGGCCTTAGCCTCCCTAGTGCTGGAATACTAGAGTTCACCACCATGTCCAGAGTTGTTAGAGCAATCTTGTAAAATGATGTGGTGCATTTCTCTTCTTCCTAGCACTTGAATTGGTGGTACATAGGCCATTTACCATTTGTAAATGGTACCAAATAACTTTCCAAAGAGGCTCAATTTTATTGCCACCAGCAGTGTTTAGCAACTGTAATTCTTTAACACCATTGTGGTTTTTAATCTGTTTATTATTTTTTGCCTTTGTTGTCATTGTTTTTACCTTTCTAGTGATGATGCAGTATTATATTGCATTATATTCTAGTTTTAACTTTAAGCTATTTACCATTGATTTGTATATATATTCATACATTTATTTGTCATTTGATTGTCTTTTCTTTTGTGAAGTGCTTGTTAAAATCTCTCAGCCTTATTTTTTTCTGTTGGAATGTTTGCTTTTTCCTTAGGCTTACATAGATCTTAGTAGATTCTACATTGTAAGCTCTATACTAGAAATGTACTCTGCACACTTATTTCTATTCTTTGTATTACCTTGCACATTCTTAATAATATTTGGTGAACAGAGATTCCTAATTCTAGTGAAGTTTGCTGTATGTTCATTATACCCTTTAGAATTTATGGTTTTAAAAATCCAATGTAAGAACACTTTCCTAGTAAGAAAGTAATGAAGCTTTCTCCAAAATTACTTTTTTCTTATAACTCTGTGGATCTTTTTTTTGGTATGATGTAGGACCAGTTGATTGTTTTTTACTTGCTGGTATACATTTGTCACAGCAACAGTGATTGAAAAATAATGATGTAAGAGAGAAAAAAGCTTATATAAGTTTATATATGTGTGTATATGTATCATCTACTATATCCTGCGTCCTCTGAGTCCACTTTTAGATAAGGTCTCAATCTTGGTCTATGAAGATTTGAACAAAACACTACTGTAGTTTCTGATAGTTCAAGATTCTGTAATTGTGGGATGAGTCTAGTACCCATTAAAAGTGCCTACCTGAGTAAACTAGTTCTCAAAGCTTTTATCTCCAGTGTTTTCTGAGGATTTATATGAGCCTAGGAGTTAGTAAAACAGACTTTTGCCTTCTCACTGTCAGTAATCTGTTTTTAAAAATCATAAATTCTACAGCTAATTAATAGGAGCTGATGTTTCTTTATTTAAAATGAGAAAATTAAACTGAGTCACAACTATTAATTACTTTCTTAAAATATAACAAAAACAATACTATGCCCACATAAGTAAAAGGCTCATGATACAAAAATTTAATACATAGTCTTACTTCCAGACAATTTCTTTGTATGATTCATTCTCGTTGGTTCTCTTCATTCCTGCATCCTTGCTGAGATCCATTTTGTTGACATTTACAATGCTTGTGGAAACTTACCTGGTGATTGGGTTCTACTGATTTTATTGTGGATATAATTGAATTATTTCTCCCCTATTCACCAGTGTGTTAATAGCATTGGATATTGGTGAATTTTCAGTAGCACCTCATTTCAGAATTGTTTGTATCACATTTACTGTTGCTTACTTCATGGATACTGATGTAATTACAAAGCACAGGGTCATTGAGGGACAGAAATACATGAAGCTGTGGTCACAGTGAGACCTGTCATCAGGAACTAATGGTACAGAGGTTCAAAGTAAATACACATTTTGTGCATTTCCCCTACAAAAAATCCTAGGCCAAAAATGTTAGACTACAAGGTGTATACTTCCTATGAAATTTAGGTATATAAAAGGAAGGGGTGGTCTAGTGGAAGCACGGATGTGGAGTCTCATGTTGTACATCTGTATTCATAGGAGCATAGATAATACTACTTAAATATTTTTCCTTTGGTGTACTGTAGTTTCATTAAACAATCATCCTAATATTTAAAATTATTTCTTCATGATAACATTATTCATAGCAAATGTTTTTTATTACGTATAAGCTTTATGTTAATTAGCATATAAATTACCTGTATGTCAGTTAGCATGATTGTGTGTGCTGTTTTAGCACAGTCTTGTGTGGACATACTCATGTGTAAGAGACTCCCACAGGGAAGGTTTTTGTTGTGGTATTTTCTAGAGATTTTTCTCCAGCTGCTGTGAAGAGATCTTTGAGTATCAGAATCCTGAAGCAAGGCATACCAATTCTCTCATCACTCCCTGGATTCATTTTTGTCTTCCAGCCATAATTCAGTCCTCTAGCTGTCTCTGCATACAAAGAAAATGAAAACATCTGTGGTGAGTTGCTTGCTTATTTTTTCTTCAGCTGCTTTTCATTGTATTTTAGAAGCTTTGTATGAGAGTTCATTAATTAAAATAGGAAACTTAAACAAATTTGAACCTCAGAGAAATATGCATAAATAACACAAAGTTGTCCTGTTTGATATAGGCAAAATTTAAGCCTTTAGAAGACTTGAATTGATCCTGAGGAGAGCACTGTTAATTCCCATGGCCTGTGAAGTCTAAAACAGAATCTTCGCTGTGCACATAGATGATTTAGTAGGAGTGATTCACTACCAACCTGGAAATAAACACAGCATTCTGCAGTAGTAATGTTCACCTAGTGCTGTATCACAAATAGTTAAGTAGTGTGGTCCTTACTTGATGCGTGAATGAAAACTGGAATGTGCGGAGGATAGAATCTACCACAGGTCCTTAAACAGCTCTGCATACATCTCTCTCCGATTGTCTGTATGGGCAGCTTATAACACAGACTGTCCAAAGTTATTTTTTTTATGATGTGTCTTGTGCTCATTTGCACTTTTAATCTAGTTACTATTGTCTTAGGTATTTTTGAAACAAATGATATGTAATCAATTTTGAAGACTGTCCCATAGTCTTTGCCTTTGGCTTGATCTTCTGCCATCACTGAGATCACTGTACATGATCTCCTTGCAATTGTTCTGTTTTAGTTTCTGTGAGGACCTTGCAGATGGATTCTTTTTCCTGAAACTTTTCCCCTCTGTAACATAATTTGTCCAAGTTTTGCCTCCTGTTCTGCATTGTTCTTATTTGATTTGTCCATCTGTGGTTTGTCACCACTACCAATACCTGCCGGATTTAGGCCTCTTCCCTAGCCGTTAGACCATAGGTTTAGTTCCTTTGTGGTTCCACAAAACCAAAATGAAAACCAAATCCTCCATTCAGTTTTTGTGAGTGGTATTTACTACCAACTAGCCTTGACCACCAAAAAGGAGATTTTTCCTGGGGTCCTCTCTTTCTCAGATCTAATGTTATCTGATGTAATTTCTGATGTCTTTGTTTCTTTGTTGTGTATGTAGTGCTTTTGATGGGAAAACATATTGGTGCTCAAAAACAAGTACTTTCTCTTTGGCAATGTTGCTGTTAAAAAATCTTGAAGGGTTTAGTGACACAGTGATGAGGGTTCATATTTCTTCATTTTTTTTCTGTATCATCATTTTTCTGTTACATTTACTTCAGCTTCAAAGCTCTGATATTCTGTCTTTTAGTTGATTTAGTCTGCTGGAGAGGCTTTCAACCAGATTTTTTTATTTGACTTAAACTTATCATTTCCAGAGCTTCAATTTGATTTTTTCCCCAGGCTTTCTGTATCTTTATTAAATTCCCCTTTCACATCTTGCACTGTAGTCTTTATTTTATTTGGGTGTTTATTTGTATCCTCCTAGAGTTCATTCAGCTGTTTGTATCCTCTGAATTCATTTAGTTATTTATCTGTATTTTCTTTGAATTCATTTAGTTGTTTATTTGTGTTCGCTTTGATTTTGTTGGAGGTGTTTATACTGTCTTCTTTCATCTCATTAATCTTATCATTCCTTTGAGCTCAAAATTAGAGGATTTATCCCCTTCAGTATCATTCAGATTGTTTGTTATGTGATTGTTGACCTTTTCAAGGTATTATGTCCCTTCCCTTTTTCATATTTCATGTACTTCTACATTGAGATTTGTTCTTGTAGTCAGTTCATTGGTTGGGAGTTTTAGTCATCTTGAATTATTTGCTATGTTCCGGCAAGGCTGGGTAGTGCAGAGTTGATGTGCCATTTCTCACCACTGGCCTGGGGGTATAATTTAGCAGTAACGAGTTCACCAGTTCAGTACCAAACCAGATATTTACATGAAGTAAAATATCATTGGCAACCCATGCAACCAATCATGTTATATATGAAGGGGACTAGTGTTCTTATGTGGTACAGTAAGGGTTTAGAAAAATAAAAATGTGTGTAACAGTTAAAATTAGGTAGTAAAAGTAAGGGAAGGAGTCAAGGGAAGAAATAAGAAAGGGAGTGAAGTGTGAGAACTGCAGTTAAAGTATTAGTGTGTGGGAATATAGTTCAGTTATTGTGGAGAAGGGTGCTATCATCAGGGACTGGAAAGGAATAGAAAGGCTAAGAACAATAAAAGAAGGAGGTAGAATTGACAGTAGAACAGTTTGTAAGCAAGAGATAGGAAAAGTGAAAAGAGAAAGTAAGAAGAAAAAAATATGTAAAAGAGACAAACAAATTAAAAAAATTAAAAGTATTTCTTCCTTGTTGAGGAGAAGAGTGTATGTCTGCTGAGCTCTTATCAGTACAGTGGATGCTTTATCCTCCAGTCTCTGGTCCTCAACTTTTTGTCTGCAGTCCTTTGTGTTTACTCATGTTACCCTTCAGGGCTCTGGGTTGACTGGGTGCAGCCTGGGAGGAAGGCTGTGGATCAGGTAACTGCTGGGATGGGGTGGGGCAGTTGTAGAGTAGTGGCAATTCCTGGGGGTTGGACTGCTCTGCTGACTTTTGTGGAGTGGTTCCAGGCATGTCAGAGAGCAGTTGGGGGCTAGGGGGTGGAGTTCTGGACCACAGCTAGTGGGTCAGAAGGCACTCTCCATTCTCAAGGCCTTCACTTTTCCTTGCCTCTTGAGTCCAGTGCTGCTTTAGCTTGTCCACAATGAGCTTTTTCACCCTTTCCACCTAGGCCTCTGGTGTAATGTTTTGTTTGTTAGTGAGTAGCTTTTGTCACTGTGAATATGTATAGACTGTTGAGCTGGGTGCTAGGTTAAGAGTTCTAGGCAGCTAGCCATCTTGCTTCCACACTCTTCCTTGTCTTGGGTTAGAACCCTGGATGGTAGACTGCTCACTTCCTTTGGGTAGAGACCTTGGTGTCGAGTGGCTGCACCCCCACATCGCCCAGCATGCGCCCCCCTTCCCCCCATCAGTTAGGAACCGTGTGTGTGTGTGTGTGTGTGTGTGTATGTGTGTGTGCGCACGCGCGCGTGCCTTTGAACAGCCTGCTTAGCCAAAACTTTTCTTGGGGGGGTCAGATGAATTTTTGTCCTCACACTGGACTTGACTGGGTGGAGGCCTTCAGGAATAACACTGGTTATAACAAAATTCATCCAGTTTCACCCACTTGCCAGTCCTGTTCCAAATACAGGGGCCTTTAATCAGTCCGCTTAGTCAAAAGTTTTCTTGGGGTCATATATGTGCCTGAGTACTGGGGTGGCCTGTGCAGTGCTCTCAGGACTGAAACTGGTTTGCTCTGCTAGCACATTCCTGCTTTCACTGTTTTTGTCCCTGGTCATGGAGCACAGATGTTGGTCATCTTCTGTCTGGTGGCCCAGGCAAGGCTTGCTGACCTGCTCATAGTCCTTTGTGCAGTTGTTTTGTTAACAGCATGGCCCACATGTGTGAATCTTGACAAAAGCAAATCAGAACAGTTAAAAAAGCCCCCAAAAACCTGGGCTGGAAAGGTTGTGGGAGGGAGCAGATCCTTGTGGCAGTTCTGCTTTTTTAGAGGTTTAGTTAGAGTGGTATTTAAAAATTTTCTCTATCTACTATCTTTCCTTATACTGGCACATTCTCTAACTTCTTAACTTGCTCACCTCTCCTTGCAGCCATGGACATAAGAAAGTGGTACCTGTCAGCAAGCTGCCATATTAGGACCTTGTTTGCACTTTTTTTTTTTTTTTTAAACCACTGTGAACAATGCTGCTGTGAACCTACATGTACAAGTTTCTTTGTGGATATCTGTTTTCAGGTCTCTTGGGTGGAATTTCTTGGGTCATATGAAACATCTGTGTTCCATGTTTTGAGACTTCTTGTAAAGTGTCCAGCACCATTGCACATTTCCACCTGATGGGAGTGAAGGTGCCAATTTCTCCAAATCTTCATCAACACTTGTTATTGTCCCTCGTTTTTATTCTAAAGTCATTTTAAATCAAATCATTTAAAGCTACTTTCACCCAGTGGGCATTTCTTTCCCACGCTGTTGGTAGAGATGTCAGCACCAGGAAGGTGACTCTTCCAGGCCTTCCTGGGCCCACTGCCATGCCAGGGCAGACACTTCAGCAGCCCTGAAGTGTCATCCATCATCTCTCCTTGAGTTTTGATGGCATGTGCAGTTGTACCAGAGTGGGAAGTCATCTGGCATACAAAAACTGGTTTTTGCCCATTTTAAGACCCCATCTTCACCATTAAGAAATGGTTAACTCACTTCATTGTCCGCTGTAAGGGTGTCTTGCTTTCTAGTTGGCCTTCCCTGTCCAGAAATATTTGACCAGTGCCTTTGTCATCCCATTTACTTTCTTTTTTTGCAGTACTAGCATTTGAACTCAGGGCCCACACCTTGAGCCACTCCACCAGCCCTTTTTGGTGAAGGTTTTTTTTTTTTTTGAAATAGAGTCTTGCAAACTATTTGCCCAGCTGGCTTTGAACCAAGACCTCCTGATCTCTGCCTCCTGAGTAGCTAGGATTAGAGGCATGCACCACCAGTGCCTGGCTCCTTTTAATTATTTGAAGAGCCTCCTTACTTCCCTTCAGTGAAGATGAATTTTGTCCTTGCAAGCTTTGGAGACCCTGCTGTTTCAAAAGGAATATGTCTCTCTAGATTGGTATGTGTTTGTCAAAAAAGACTATAGCAATATAGGTGGGTCCCCTATGTACCAGGCACTGCACTAGACCATTCCAAAGTGAGTCTTTACCCCACAAAGGTGTTATTTTTGCCCATTGTATCGACAAGGTAGTCAAGACCCAGAGAGCATTAGTAACTTGCTTAGAGTCACATAGTTTGATTGAGCAGGGGCTGGGGCTTGGGATGTTAGACCATGTTTGAACTCTTTCCCATTTGGCCTCACTGCTTCCCTCCTGCTGCTGCCTTTTTCTTGGCCATTTGCAGCTCCTCACACCTGGCTGGGGTTAGCCTGATACCGTTTGAATATGTTCTATCCCCTGCTCTCCCAACAAAACTTATGTTGAGATTTGGTCCCTGGTATGAGTGTTGAGAGGTAG